TCCTAAAAAAAAAAAAAAAAAAAAAAAAAAAAAAAAAAAAAAAAAAAAAAAAAAAAAAAAGTTAAAATCGGACAATTAGGAGCTAAGATATGGTCTCTGGTTTGTTTTTATGTGTTCTACTCCAAATGTTTTCCTTGGTTTGGTTTTTAAATTTTAAATGTGTTACTGAAATAATGCTATTTTTTTTTTTTTAGCATATTACTAATGATTAAAGAAAAACAGTTTAGTCCAATAATTGGAATCACCTTTTGTTTTTTTTTTTCTTTGAAACTCGGAAGGTAATGTTACTTTAGATGTATAATTGTTTGGAGATAATAAACCATTGTGAAATCATTTGCAGCGTTTTTACTGCACATTCGATTGCATATTCAATAAATTAGAACCCGTTCTCATCATGTCTCACAATTCCTTATTTCAGAGTCTAGCCTGAACGAACGTTGAACCGTTCTTGAATCTTGAAATTCTTAGAGAGTCCTTCAGAACTAGAGAGGCATACAGAACGGATATTTCTGGACCTTCTCATAATGAGATGACTCGAGCTAATAATATGAAATAGTGAGGAGTTGGAAAAAAAAAAAAGAAAAAAAAGTAGGGGGGATGGTAAGACAAGGTCGCCCGTTCGTTGCCCGCGTAAGGTTCCCTTTATTCTAAGGATGTACCGTCTCTGTTGATAACAAGTTCTGTTTTAACACACACACATATATATATATATATATATATATATATATATATATATATATATATATATATATATATATATGCCAATAGGAAAATAAATGAAATAGGATAATAAAAGAAAAATAGGAAAATGATATAAAACCGGATGCGAAACAATAAAAAATATTCAATTAATTATTTTTTCACATCATATCAGGCAGTCCATTATGATGTTACATTAAAATTTAAAAAATATACTACTAATGTAGTTTATTATATATATATTGTCATGCCTTAGTGCTTATTTATTTTAACGGAATTTGTATACACTTCTTAAAATTTACTTATTAACAGACAGTTGTGGATCCAGAATTAAATATTGAGGGGTTATTTTATTTTTTTTTTAAATGGTAATTACTCTGAAAAAAAGGGAAAAATTATCTATATGAAATGATGTTTAAGTGGTTCTTAAAAAAAAAAAAAAAAAAAAAAAAAAAAAAAAAAAAAAAAAAAAAAAAAAAAAAAAAGGTGAAAATGATTTTACAGATAAATTTATTTTATCATTTTCATGGAATATACTTAAATTATAGCAAGCTGTATATGGATTATAACTAAAAAGAGTATATTGTAATTTTTTAAAATATTTATCCTCACATAATCAAATATGGACCAACAGAAATTACTTTTATTTTTTCATTGTTTCTAAATACTTTTTTGTGTGTAATTTATGCTAAATACTTTAACAATCACAGTATTTTCTCTTTTTAAATAATAATGCATATAAAGGTACTAAATCTGCATATAAAGGCACGTGTCAAGAAAAAAAAAGCATTAATGTTCCTGTTATGAAATTTTTTTTAACTTTCAAGGATCACTTAAACATCATTTCGTATTGGAATTTATTTTTATTTTCCTCCCGGAGTAATTACCGTAAAAAAAATAAATAAAATAAAACACGTTGGGCTAAACATCAGCAAATAATATAGGCGGATCTACGGGAGGGAGATTTCGGGCTGAAGCCATCTCCCCCCTCCCTCCCTCCTCAAAATGGTAAAATATAACTATATTTAAAGAAAAAAAATAACTCTAAAAGTATTACTGTTCGTCTTATTACATTTAATACGACTTAAAGAATCACTTTAACACCATTCCATATAGGTAATTAGTTTCTTTCTTTTTTCCGAAGTAATTATCCTAATATATACATACAAAAAAAAAATCTTTCGGGCTGAAGCCTCCCCCCCTCTAAAATTAAATCTTGGATCCGTTAGTAGCATATAGTAAAATGATATTTTTATTTGTGTTATTCACTGTGAATGCAATCTCAAACTAACTTCATAGCCATATTATCTAGTTAATTGTTTGTACATCACTTAAAATAATTACACAATAAAATATTATTTTATCCCAGTCGAATGAGCCAAGCAAAATAAAAATGAGTTGACGATAAACTAACATAAATTACCACTAAAGTAAAATAACTTTATTTGGAGAGAAGTTGGTTGGGGTACTCAGTCAATGAAAGAACAAAGTAAAAATAAATAGATATACTTTATCTGTTTTTATGTTATTCTTTCATTGACTGAACACCACAACCAACTTCTATCCAAATAACTTCTATAGTCAACTACAATAAAATAAATTTAAACTAAGCATTGAATTGTAGGGTAGCCTTTAGACTTTCGAGTAAAGGGGCTAGTATTTTTTATTAAAAATACAAGGGGCTCACTAGTCTGTTAGTCAAACATCTCGTCAAATATTTGAAAAGATAGACGTAAAAAGGTCAATGCACCTATGGGGCATATACACGTATGGCAAGTAGTTTGACAAACGTTTTTGGCCATACTTGGACAGCTAAGATGAAAAATGTTTGCAGTATATAATTTCTGCTTTCTTCTCTTCTAGAAATATTAATTTAAGACCTGAATACTAACCACTTTTTTTATGAATTTATAATTAATTTCTCTGATTTTTTATTTAATTATTTTTAGCCTTTTCTTCTTGAAATATAAATAGTTTAGGAACTAAGAAACAACGATTTTAATTTTCAATTCCATTCTATCCGAATGAGCTCAACTAACTTAAATTATTCTGTTTCAACCATAAATTTTAAACTTTTTAAGTTATGTAAAAAAATAAGAATCATTTTCTTTATAACTCTTTTCCTTCCTATTTACAACTGAAGAAGATAATCTTCAAAATGATGGCTTAATCATTGGATTCAATGTAAAATTAACGAAGATATGGCGTACGTACTTTTTTTTTTGTTTCCCAATTATTAGAGGAAAATAATTAATTATTTAAATTTTATTCATTTGATTGTTAAGGCATTAGAATGGTACCATAATATAACAGTTATTTGCATATTTTTACAAATTTATTATTTGAATGACCACATTTTCTTATAAATCTTAATGTTTTTATAGTGAAAAATAGGTCTGAGGTAATTTGGATATTTCAGAGGTTCCTGCAAACATATATATTTTTGAAAACATTTTTCGATCTAATAATATTTCAGATACTATGGAGAATAGTTTCAAAACTTATCCACGGCCTCTTACATCAGGACAAACTTGCAACACATATATGCATGTTAAAATGACCATGCATTATCCGCATGACGATAACGACCTCATTTGCTCTGATAAGCAAGGAGATTATAACATAAAAATAAAATCATTATGCTCATTATGTTAAGAACATGGAATATTCACGCTTTCTTTTTTTTGGCAAATTACTTTATTTAAAACATAAAAAAAAACTGTAACTTACGTATTACAATAATTATTAACGTATTACATTAATTCTAATCAAGATTTCCTATTTGATTTTTTTGCCTGAAGAAAAGAAAAGTGGATATTAATTAAATTATCAGGATTTACTGTGAATATGAAATACGCGGATCGACGAACATACCGTCCATTGCACAGAAGTACTCAAATGTCCCCACAGGTAGCGCCAACTACTGGGCGATTCATAGGTATTAGTCCTTTTTTATTTAATTTTTTTAAGGAGACATTTTATTTTGTTTATGTACATATATGTAGATTTTTAAATACAAATAATACATATATAATGTATAGTATTTTTTTAATAAAAAAAATCGTCCAATAATTAAGGGACAAATTAGTTAACTGATATTGTTAAAAATTAGTCAGAATTCCAAAACAACAAAAAAAGGAAAAAGAAATCTTGGACACTCTTTTGAATTAGCGAAATATTTATAGAAATCATTTAATAAATTAAATAAGATTTTTTCTTTAATATTAATATTAAAATAACTATTAAATTTTGTTATAATTTTACTGCAAGCCCTATCAAAACAAAAAGTTATCAAATATTTTTTTAAAGATGAAGGTATTGGAATTTACAATGTGCTATTTTTAATGAATAGATTAACATTTTACGAAGCAAAAGATATAGTGCTAAATTTAAAACATAGTTATGAAGGTCTGATAATCACTTTAAGAATTTTTAACGTATATTTACATCCAGGAATAGATGATGAGGAAGAATTGTTTAATATATTAATGGTTTTTTATTGTGAAATAAACTCATCCGTTTTTAAATACAATTTTTTATAAGTAATCAAGCCCTTACCACATTTTCATGGATGATTTTTCTTTACAGAAATATTCTGTTTTGTTATAAATCCATTCTTTGTCAACTAGTATCTACAATATTTCATATATTTCTAAATTTAGTAGAAATATATTTTTTGTGGAAAGGTGCTATTCAGGAATGTTACAATTGACACACTGTGCATTACGAAATAAATGAATATATTGTGGGTACTACATGACACACTCTCTATAAAAAAAGTATTTTTAGTATGTTTCAAGAAAATTGCGAAATGAATGAATATATTTTGGATACTATGTAATAAAAACTTGAATTTTGAGCTATCAACTCTATTGAAGAATGGAAAAATGGGTTTTTAATTTTAATTACCAACTTAGTGGTTTATGTTTAAAAAATCTTTAATATCAAACAAAATATCATCTTGGGCCGTGGAAGGAATCGCAAGGCAAATCAAGAATTCAACGAAATTTGCTAGAAAGATTCATTCGAACTGAATGATTTAGATCTGGCTCTTCAACTCTTTTACGAGTATAAAAACTAAACATGAATTCAAATTTTAAAACTGAAACGGAATTGTTACAGTATTTTATTCGAATTCAAAAGTGTAACCTAATAATCGATAAAAACAGTCCACTAATCGATGTATCAAGGACGATAGCACACTAACTTTTCCTTCTTGCTTTTAAACATTATAAATTTAAATAATAAAATATAAAGCGTAAAGAGCTTTTAATAAGCATTTATTTTTCTAACATAGAAAATGACATTGTGATGAATATGTCTAACGAAAAAATCAAAGGTACACATGTTATGTTCAAGGAACCATAAGCAAATTATATTTTGACGAGTAAATATTGTAATTCCAGAATTCATCAGTTTCAGCTGTATTGTTAAACTTGTATTCCCAATTTTGTGCAACTGATCAGCCCTAAATGTGATAGGACATTGGTTGGTATCGCTATCTACATGGCAACAAATCGTTAGTTGCACGAATGCGGAGAAGATGCCGCTAAGGACCAAGAGTTGTCCCCTGCTGCGCTCTTTGCGGCGGATCGGCAACTATCTGCATTGACCCATTGAAAATCTGGGATAAGGGCAGCCATTTTTGTGCTTTTCAGAAAGTGACAGAACGTACTGTTTATTTTGTGTTTTAAGTGGTTTGTCAGTGTATTTGAAGTGCATATAAAGTGGAGGATCAGAAGGTAAGATGACCGAGGTACATAAATGGATGTGTTGACCGACTGAGAAGGTCAATTTAAAAATATCTTATATCCAACTTCTCTTCACCTGCCTGAATCTCTTTCCTTTGATACAGAACTTCGGTTCTGATAAATTGGTGTTCTGGGAGGTTTAGAAGTGACTGGGAGCCCTGGAAGGTATAAAAGGCAAGACAATGGGCAATGCCGCTACGGCCAACAAGAAGGGGGATTCGGCAGAAAGTGTCAAGGAATTCCTCGACCAAGCGAAGGAGGAATTTGAAGATAAATGGAAGAAGAATCCAACTAATACAGCAGCCCTTGATGATTTTGAAAGGATCAAAACCCTTGGTACTGGGTCCTTTGGAAGGGTAATGATAGTACAACACAAACCTACCAAAGAGTACTTTGCCATGAAGATACTCGATAAACAGAAGGTAGTTAAACTGAAACAAGTCGAGCATACCTTGAATGAAAAAAGGATTTTGCAAGCCATCAGTTTTCCTTTTCTTGTGAGTCTCAAATTTCATTTTAAGGACAATTCAAATCTATACATGGTTCTTGAATATGTGCCAGGAGGTGAGATGTTTTCACATCTGCGTAAAGTTGGAAGGTTTAGTGAACCCCATTCGAGGTTTTATGCCGCACAAATTGTTTTAGCATTTGAATATCTTCATTATTTAGACTTAATTTATCGAGACTTGAAGCCAGAAAACCTGTTGATAGATTCTCAGGGTTATTTAAAAGTAACGGATTTTGGTTTTGCTAAAAGAGTGAAAGGCCGCACTTGGACTCTTTGTGGCACACCTGAGTACCTTGCTCCGGAAATCATTCTGAGTAAAGGATACAACAAAGCTGTTGATTGGTGGGCACTGGGTGTGTTGGTTTATGAAATGGCAGCTGGTTATCCACCTTTCTTTGCTGACCAACCTATTCAGATTTATGAAAAAATTGTTTCTGGTAAAGTAAGATTTCCATCACATTTTGGTTCTGATTTAAAGGATCTTTTAAGAAATCTTCTCCAAGTAGATCTCACTAAAAGGTATGGTAATTTGAAGAATGGAGTAAATGATATCAAGGGCCATAAGTGGTTTCAGTCAACTGATTGGATAGCTGTATTCCAGAAAAAAATTGAAGCTCCTTTTATACCCCGATGTAAGGGACCTGGTGATACAAGTAATTTTGATGACTACGAGGAGGAAGCACTTAGAATATCATCGACAGAGAAGTGCGCCAAGGAGTTCGCGGAGTTTTAAATTTTTGCCATTTTCCAAATAGAACCGTGAGATCTAGTGTGTAGAAGAGAAAGAACGCCCATCGTGATAAACCTTCAATAGAACAGCTTTAAGGGTAATTGCTTATATATTTATTATACGGGTCTTCCTATGTTACTAAACAAAACTTGTTGATAGTCAAAATTCGTTGAAGGTTATTCTTTAATGATCTTGTGTGTTTAGTAGACAGTAGAGGTCTTATCCCACTAACAGATGGAAAAGCCTGTAGCCATTTAACATGTCTATGTTGAATAAAATCTTGTATATGAGTGAAATTTTTCAAAAGTTATAAATTGCCACTTATTTCTTTATGAATTATATTCTTGGTATAAACTGCATGTTCTGGTCATTATTTAGAATTTGCAAAATAAAAATTATAAAAAAAAATCTTGCTTAGTCAGAAGCTTTTAAAAAAAGTTGTAATTTGCCCAAAATATCTGTACAAATTAGACTTATTCAACCCTAAGAGATTTTTGTGCTCATTTTATTAGACAAAAAAGAAAGTACACTTGTTCTTGTATTTTCTATTCTCCTCTCGGCACATGTAATATAGTGAACTATCCAAAGTTAATGATGGTAATATCAAAAAAAATTTTGCCCTAGTCTTTCTATATGCTTTTTGCTTATTAGGTTTTAGTACAGTTTTTCTGCCTACCAATACTCAACATCATTTGTAAATAAATAATCGCTTAACATAAAAATAAATACAATAAACAATCTTTTTGCCCTTCCATATTTGTATACATCCCATCATTATACCTTTAATTCATGTTAAAAAAGCTTTAGTGAAATTATTTATTTTTGATTTTAACTATCATTTTAAATATTAGTAAATGTTCCTCAGAGCTCATTATGACTTTATTTTCTATCATTTTACATCACAATTAATAATCGAATGATATAAGAACATTTAGATATACAGTATTGACTTGAAATAATTAGCAAGTTCATGTTTATCATCATGTTGTTTAAGGTGTGAGTTTTATTAGTTTGTTGACCTTACTATAAAGTGTTACCAATTGCCACAGTATTATTACTGTTTTGGTTTTAAGTAATTTGTTCATAGCTTATTAAGTTCAAGCACTGTAATATAGTTTCTATGTGTGAAAATAGAATAGGGATTTTTCGATTCTTTTCTGATGTATTCAGCTTTACTATTTATTCAGCCGTTCTACATGAAACAAGTTCACTTGATATAAATATAGGAGATACTTAACATTCTTTATTATTATTATAAAAATAATATATTTATTATTTAATTTATATATAAATTTGAGGGTTGTATGATACAATTGGTTTAGAGATGGTATGTTGAAGATCGGGAGCAAAGATTTTAATGTTGATATTTTCTGTACAATTTATATTTAGGCCATAAGTTACGAGCTTCGGTCAAAAGATTATTTGGCCTTTTCAGATATTTTATCTATTGTTTTTATCGAATGTAAATATTTAATGCCGTAAATTTTGCTTGTAAAATTATAAGAAATGATGACGTATGAGTATAATAATTCAATTTTTTGAGTTATATACCTATTTATTAGCATTTACTACTGCAATTATATAATTAAAGTGCAGAACTATGTATCATAATGTGTTAATCATATCTGTATTTATAGTATTATATATAAATATATATATATATTATATAAATAGTTGTACTACTTAACAGGTAAAGGGATTCTATGCAATAGTGCCATATAAACGAATGGAATTTTAATAATGGTTTGGAATTTTTTTCTGATGAACTAAATTTAATTGGTACCTAAGTTTTTAGGGAAAATATTTTTAAAATTATATTTTATGAAGCACAATAGTTTATTAGTCTTTTAATGAACAAATTGTATTTTTCGCAATGTGATATTTGTATTAACAAATACATGGAAAAGCTCGTAGCTTTTTCAATATAGTGTGGGGTAACAGACCGTTGTATCAGAAGGAATAGTCTGGTAGGATTTGTTGTTAATTAAAATTTGCCATATAGAATGAATTGCCCCTTTGACAAACCTTAAATGTAAGAAATTTTATTTAATGGGTCCCTCCCCATATATATATTGTATAATGTAACACCAAGATCCTCCATGAATATAGAATGTCATCGAATTATTTAAAATAAATAATTAAATAACAAAAAATACAAAAAAAAAAAAAAAAAAAGATGGCTAAGAGTCATACAGGCTTTAAGTTATCATTTCAATCTTTCATTAAGTTATTCAGATATGTTTATATTGTTTTGTTTTTAAATTATATATTGTCATTATTCTAATTAATTGTACTATGTGTGTATGTACACAATGAAATGACATAAAGATGTTGTCAATAGTGTGTACTATGTATTTATGATTTCAGAATGTTATGAATTTTTTTGAATTTTAACCTAGTTGGTTTTGTACCTTGTTTTTGTTTTTAGAAATTTGTTATTTGTTTATACCAACTGATGACCAAATAATATAAATAAAAATACGTTGTTATCCCCTATTTAACAAAGGCTTTTATTTTGTTTTTTATTTCCTATATTAAAATTACAGGTTTTGCTTTTTCAATTTCCTGCAGTTTTAAAATTAGATATCAAAAAGTAACAAAAAAAATTTACATCACAAATTATATGTGGTACATAGGTTACAAACATAAAAGCTTATTAAGAACAAATACTTACATAAAAAAAAGTAAGTTTTATTTTGAACAGGAGTCCTTTACCGTTTTTGTTCTGCTAATCCCTTTGTCACTGAAGTTGAGACTTGGCACACTTTCAAAAAAAAAAAAAAAAGTAAATAAGAACCAAGTACATTTACTACAGTTGTATTAGATAATTACTTACTGAAATGTTTTTTTCTACAAATGCCAACATGTTGCATATTTTCAACGATAACCATTATAATTAGTTTTAATTTTACATATTATTATTATGTATGTAAATTTAATGCATTCATCAAATTACCTATTGTCCATCAGGGGTAATGTCAATTTTATTTTTCTTTACAAAATTTTTTAACTTTTAAATTACTTTTCTAATCTCAAAAATTAAATACTGAATTATATAATTTATATTATATTATTACATTTCACTCACTTAATATTCAATATTTATATTGTTTTTATATATCATAGAGAATAAATCATTGTAACTGAAAATTTGTTATCTGATTAAAGGTTTCTCTGACCAGTGTTTCGGAGATATAAATAAGAAATTTATTTAGAAATATATTACTAGACTAATGAAACAGTTGAGTTGCATAAGTTTTTATGCCGTACAAATTTGGTATATTATTTGTTAAACTCATTATTCTGATTTAATATCAAACAAAAACATCGTATTATTTATTTTTATCCCGGTATCATATTAGTTATTTAAAAATACTGATAGATCAGAATTGAAACTTTTACCTGCTAGCATCTATTAAATGTCTTTCATTACTTGACGCGGGAACTGTGCCATCTTGATGTGTATGTAGAGATTCCCTCCCTTCACCACGATCATGAATTCAGTTTAAATTAATATTCAATACGAAAATCTGAGTTTTTTTTGTTTTTTTAAAGTATTTTTATTGGCTTATTGGCGTGATAATTAATAATTTGGGAACATTTTTAAAAGTAGAATATATTTTTTTACGTGCTATGGTTTATCTTTACTATTTATTGTTTTTTACCGTTTCGTTGAAACACGCGAATATAAAATAATAATTGATTTAGTTCTAATGAGAATGTCATTCAATTATTATTTAATTTAAAAGTTTTAATGATAATTATAGTTTTTGAATATTTGCTTTTTCCGCCAACGCCGAAATATACAGTTGTTCTCTGAGCTGCACAAGAATTTAATTTTACTAATAGTGATAATAACTTATAACAATACTTACCCTTACTATCTATTACATATATACGTAAGTGAAAGTAAAAATTTAGTTTATTGGTTGATAAACGTGTTTTAATTTCTTTCTGTAAATTTCCGAACTGTATAATTTCACATGATACACTAGGTTTGGTGATTTTTTTATGGAGTGTTCTTCATGAATTTTTTGTCCTGGCCTTGGCTTAATGAAGTGACCACCTCTACTATCAAGGTAAGATAATAATTACATTATTTTTTATTTTAGTTATCTATATTTTATTTCAATTTTTGTTTGAATTAATTGGTTATTATGATAAAGTATATGATTAGTTATCAACTGACTAATAAGAACTGTTTAAAGGCATCTGAGCACTGGAAATTGTAATTACAAATTATTTATTAATGTACTTCATTTTATGGAAGTTTCTTGCAATATTAACAATACATCAATTTTAATTTAAAAGAGTAATTCATTGTGATTTCATGGAGTGGTCATGTATTCTCATTTTTTCAGTTTGTTTATTACTTATTGTTAATTTTGACCATCTGTAAGTTATATGAAGTATTACCTGGTTTGAAGTAAATGACTATATGGATTTATGGGTACAGAAATGTGATTCTCATAATGTAATAACATACTGAAAATGATTCTTTTGATTTGAAATCAGCAAAAGCGTTTATTTTTTGTGTATTACACATTATTATTATTATTAATCATTAGAACTTTGTCAAGATCTGCGTATGTTGCATATGTCGTAGAACTTAAGATGTTGGATTTAGAAGAACTTTGATATAAATTGTATTAAATAAAAGGCTCTTACTTCAATTTGTTTTGGAGGAAATAAAAGTTATTGAAAATGTCTATGATTAACTCATTATTTATAAAAATATCAGGCAAGAATACTGTTCAATTTTTAATTCAAATAATTTATGAATTTTTATTAATTAATAGTTTCCAGGGACATTTTAATTCGAGGTTTACTAAAATTTCAGTCAACTAAACACTTTTTATTATCCCTGTTTAGAAAAACAAACCATCAATAAATAGATAAGTGAAGGACTTTTATCATTCACATCTTAGTTGAAGAATTTGGCATAAAACACTCGTTAAAAGTTATCTTGAGATAATATCTGTGTAAAACTCTCTTCTGTATAACAAATTTCAGATACAGAAAAACAATTATGAGATGTATATATATTAGGAAGAAATATATGAAAAATATTTGTTTAAAGAATTTTTTGAAGTTCATAAGAATATTTACTTCATATAGAATCCTATGGTACTTTATTTGATTGTATTTTTTAAGTACTTTTCGCTATACTCTTCTTTGATATTTAAATATTCAGTTAGTTTGATTAGGTTCTTTTATCAATTTTAAGTAAATTGTCTAATTTTTTCAGGAATATCCCATAGCTTATTTGTAGTATACTAATGCTTTTGATGAATAATAAATTTATGTTACTAAGTTTAATACTAATTAAAAAATATTATTTTAGTTCATATCGGTTTTTATATAGTAATGAATTATCAAGTCAAATGATTTGTTTTTATTTTTGTATTGAAATTTTTAAAGAATAATTATATTTTTCTAATCAGAAGTTCTTGATTATTAAATATTGTGTAGACAGATCTTCATTATGTTGCCTAAAGATAAGGTGTGTTATGTTCTCCGGTTTGCATTATCTAATTGTCATCCATATTTTTGCACTCATTAATTGTTCACACATTTACCATAAAAATATCTATATATTGTTATCCTGATTATTATGGTCTTCATTTCATATATTTTTCAACAGCTTGAGTCATTTCAAAGACTGAAAAAAGTTCTCACTGTTTGTTTCATATTTTTTAAAAGTTTTCTGAAGTATATATATATCTAGAGATTACTTATCGTTGGTTTTCTTTTTAATGTTTATTATTTATATTTATTTAATTAATTGTATTCGATTCTTGAATCATAAATAGTTTTCTGTTCGAAATTACCTAAGTCAATCAATAAATTGGATAAATAAATCAATAAATAAGTTGGTCAGTACATTTTTTTTTAACTGATTATTAAGATTTTGGAAGTAATGATCTTAGTTCTAGAAGTATAATTGCAAATGATTAGACCCTTTTTTTTTTAATGACAAAATATTATATTGATTTTATGTTATTCTTAACTAGAACTTTTCCATCGCTACTTTGTTTCAAGTAAAGGGTTTTACCAAGCTTTAATTTTTTCATGAAATTCCAAAGTTCTCTTGAAGCAATTTATTTTTGCAAAAAATCTAACTAGAAAATAACTTCCATTCTTAGCTATTCAAATGACAGATTAGAATTATGTAATTAATTTAAGATCAATTAAATCTGTGATCTAATCTCAATTACTATTTGTTTCTCATTTAACTCAACTAAATAAAAGCTAAACCTTTAACATAGACTAAGAACTTTTTTACAAAACGGTTTCTTTGAACTTATAAAAAACATTTTATAAAATTTTGAATCTCTGTATTTTTAGAGTTATGTTAATGGTAGATAAATTTAGCAGACTTTAAACTATTATTATTAAATTATTTATAATGACATATTTGATACTGGAAAGGGCCAACACTAAAACAAAGACCCAATATACATCCAAAATAGCCGTTAAGAGATAATGGTTAAATATGTCCTTGAAATGATTAGATCGAATCTATACCAGATATGGCCAAAAAAATGTGTTATTAGATAATTTAAAGTCTATGAAATCTACAAGATATAAACAAAGCTAGTTGGTTTCAGAACCTTTTCCAGATCCAAACAATTCGTTCACTCACGACTCGTTTGGAAGTTCTTTCCCATCTATCCCCGGAGTAAAAAATGATGGCCATTATTGAAGTTGTTTTGCCACATCCAAATAAGAAAAAACTCTCATAGATTCTGCGAAATAGCTCTTAATTTTAAGCAGACAATTAATAATTAAATAAAGACATATAGCAAATCGTACCTTGAAGCTTAATTCAAGACTTATCAAACACTGAGAGTGACAAAACAACTAAATTAATAATAATGGATTGATGGTTGAATGTAGGGAGTTGAAGAGAATATTTTGTGTGATCAGTCAATAAGTCATTCTTCGCCTAAACGTAAATAAGGTATGATCCCGGTGAATGAAATGAGATTGTTAAGTTGTTCGGCTGGATTGGAAACGCTTAATTAAAATCACTTAGATTGTAATCAGTGCCGAAGTCATCGTTTAAAAGTCCGATTGTTTCCCAAAACGTAGGTGGAAATTGAGGATTGTCCTATGTCAAACATTGTATGAATGATAGTTTACGCTACAGAGTTCTCCCACCATTTTATTATTATTATATTTATTCTATTCAATTATGGTAAGGTTTCCTTGTGGCATTCTATTTCATTAATAAATTCAAGAAAAGACGTTTAACGAACTTTCTATTTTAAATGTTTTATATTAATTATTTTATTTAAAATTGACAGCTATTGCATATAATACCGAAGCGCTAGTGCGTATAATATTTTATTTATTAATGCTGAACAATATATTTTCTGTTCATTAATAAATATGTAATATCTTTATATATTATTTCTCAAAGGTGTTATTTTTGTTGGTACGCCATATTTTGGTCAGTTCTTTATTAAATCCAATGAATGAGCGCTCATTTTGAATATATTCTCTAACAGATGGGAAAAATAATCACATCTTTCAAAATTTGATTTAATTTTTATTGGTCGATTACCATTACAGAAAAAATAGAAAATGATTCCTCCATCTTATGATACATTTAATTATTTAATTTCATAATAATTTTGTCATTAATTCATTGACCAATATTCTTTACGAAGTAACCACACGGGACATTAGCAAAAATATATTTATAGTTATTATATAGAGATAAAATAAAAAACATTTGTTGGAGTTACCAAGTTTCATTCAAAATCCATAAAAAGAACGAGTGATTCATCAAAGGGTTGGCGAGGATCCATACTGTGTTTTGATTCAATCTATAATAACACTGAATTATTCGTAAATAAGCCTTGAGTAAAAAGCTCTGTATTTTGAAATGTTTTTTATTGAATATTTTTTTTTTATTTTGGTATATATATCTGTGTGTGTGTGTATGTTTTAAGTTCT